GGAGCATAGCTGAGACGAACTGTCAGTACGAATGAGCATTTCTTCTACTTGTATAATTAAATTATTTGTATCTTCTCGATTTTCAAATAAATAAATTTGATTATAAGCAGAGGATTGAGTTCGTAAATCGTTCTTGGAAAAACCATCTTCCTCACTCGATAAAGTCTCTAATCGAACCCTGTTTTCCAAATGTGCAGTTTGAGTATAACAGTGATAGTTAGGGAAATACCTTTTTGGGAACACTTGAAATTGATCCCAGCTGTCATAGGAACCAAAAGTTCAATGATAAAAAACTTCATCTTGTTCAGAAGATTAATAGTGGTGAAATATAATTTCGTTTGCAGAATATCGTCCACGTGGTTGTGTGATTTCTTTTTCTTCATTTTTGTGGTGAACGATGTTTTCTGAAATAACCACAAGACGGTTTGTAAAAGGCCGATACTTTTGAAAATTCACAGAAATTTTCAACGATTGCAAAGAAAAACTGGCAGGTTTTGGCGATTCTTAATCAAACTATAATTGGTCTCTCTCTGCGATACACTGTTTCGTCCTTTTGTGATCATTGGTAGTTCTTTCAACTTCGCTTGTCCATTAGTGACTTCTTATCATTTTTTGTTTTATTCAATAGAACGGACATTTTTTGTTTTTAAAAAATTTCCCACTGGTCTCTGTTGTCTGCTTCATTACTCTCCAATTTCTTTGAAGAATAGATAACCAATATTCTTTCTCATTATTTGCTTATTTTGTTGTACTTGAATGTTTATCGAAGTTATCCTTTTTTTGGTCAACTTCCATCAATTTAAACTTTTTTCGAACTTGTTCTATTTTATGACTAAGGTGCTTGGAACGTGATGAGCTAATTGAACGATTGTGGTGTACTAGACGTAAAACATAATAATTTCAATTGACTGTTCGAATTTGCTAGAAGTGAAGTAACTAAATGAATTAATAACTCATGATATTTGGAAGAATCAGGGTGATGTGTAGGAGTGAATGATAAAGATGACAAGAAATTTCTATAGTTCACTGACTAACTGGTTCTCTCTGTCTTTTCGTCTCTCTTTGTGTTCTATAGTTATTCCTTAAGTAGTTATGTGCTATCCTGTAAAAGTAAAACAATCATCTGTCTTTTCGTTTTTGATGTTTCCACTTACCGTCTCTTCTTAGCTCTCTCTTTAATCAGCAGTTTTTCATTCACTTTCTTTTTCTCTTCCAAATCAACTCAGTAAAAAGATCACTTTCTACCTTACTTTTTGTTGCTGCTCCCTCCGTTCAACAAGTGATTTTTCCTTTCCGTTTTTTATGTTACTTGCTCTTTCATTGTTCTTATGAAAGTCATAATGAACATTTTCTAATAATAAACAGCATAACAGTCAACTTTGCTACTTCCGTTGAAAAAATTCTTATTAAATGTAAGACCCTTCCTTCAACTCATCGTTTTCTTAAATCACCCATCATATTACATTGATTATCCTTTTTTACGTATTCTCTCAGAGAAAACAATGACGATGTCTAAGACAACTTCTGAGTAATCTTCTCATCATCATCATCATCATCTTCTTCTTCTGTTCTTTGCAATTCCCTTTGGCTACCAACACGATTTTCTGTTATCAATCCCCTTTTCCTAATTTAGCGAATCATCATTACTTCATCTTTTTGATTCGCACCTTTTACCATTGATATGATGACGGAAACCCTCTTGTTTGAACATTTCCGTTTTAGTTATTCTTTAATAATCTGAATACTTCTTGACGTCTTCAGACCACACCCAATTACAGTTCGACTCTCTCTTCTCGCTCTCTCTCCCTCTCTCTCTCTCTCTCTCTCTCTCTCTCTCTCTCTCTCTCTCTCTCTCTCTCTCTCTGTTCCTCTATCTCCCCCCTCTCATCATGTTCATTCGTGTTCATTAAACTTCTCGATGCTAATGATGTGATGTTATGATGATATGACTTAAATCAGCTTCTCTAAGACAAGAAGATGACGTCGTCGCTTCTTGAACCTCGCTGTTTTACGTTCTTCTCTTTTCTGTTTTTTGTCGTTCTGATACCCCCCCCCCCCCTCCTATTTCCCAATCAAACATGATGAAGTCGATGTTTAGTCATCCTAACGTTCTATTTCGTTGAATAATTGACCTTTAACTGTTAAAAATTCTCTTTTAAAGCCTTGACGCTTCTGTTGTTGGACTTTCTCTCACTTCCCTACCAGAATCAGCATCATCTGTTCATCAATGGATCACATTTCTTATCAAATGTGACTGTGATTCATCCTATTTATCCGTTGCGAGCAAATTCCTTCATTCAAACATTTTCGTTAATTTTCATAAAACTTATGGTTCACTAATTTTGAAATAATTAAAAGAAGAAAATGCTTTGATTTTGAGGTTTTATTTGGATTCCCTTTCTCTTCTTCTACTCCCTTCTCCTTTTCTCTCTTTTTGCTTCTTTTACAGTAATTAGCGAATGTCACGGAATTCCAAAGGACTGATTAATGAACTGTATGTATTTCCTGTGAAATACAACGTTATTATTCATCATCATCAATGTTCATCACATTTTTCTCTTCTTTATAAACTCTTCAATCAACTATTCTTTTAAAAAAATTTTCTTTAACCCTATCACGTGTCTGCTAATTTGGCTTTTACCAATCTCTATCTTATAAATTCTGATCTCTAAAAATGTAATTCACACGTGATTAATACACGTGGGTGGAATAGTTTGTTGATTCTGAAAACTCACTAGCACTTATAAAAGCGTAGGTTTGAAACTTTTATCGCAAACCTGATAATTTTGATTGTTGGAACACATTTGCTTCCGCTCTCATCATTATATCTTTTGTGTTTCTTCTCCTTTTTTCTTCTTTGTTCCTATAAGAGATGAAAGCTGAATGTTTATACGGTAATTAATTCTTTCCTTCGAAATTATGATTACGAAATCAGTCTAGAGATGAGAACAGCGTTTAGAGGTGAAATGATGGGTAGTAGTTCATCACTTAGCTTCTAATGATCTCACCCCATACAAACTCTGATATGACCGGTCATGTATCTCTTTAACAATAATGTTTTCTTTTCTAAAGAATTGTCTTTTGATCGCAACAAAAAACTTTTATGACTTTCCCATAATTTATTGAAAAAATTGCTGAATAAAGCAGAAGAACTCTCAATTACTATTTGTCTCATCGAAAGCATTTGCTCGTCATCAGTTTTCTGCATCAAATTGAAATGAAAACAGTTGTTAAGATTTTTCCCGTGCCATTTACGTGATCTTTCTGATTTTCGGATGAAAATCATTCTTGCTTCCGACTGTCTTGTCTAAAATCTGACAGTTTTGTTTCCTTCTTTAATTTGTAATTTTGATGTCATTCGATTGAAAGTCAGGTAAAAGTCATGAATCACAGAGGGTTGAAGGCGCATTGACTCTGAATGGCGTCTGTAAAGAAAATATTTTTGTTTAATCCTTCTCTTTTCCTTTTTTCTCTCTTATTTTGTGAGAGAAATGTAGGTGGGGGAGCAATAGAGAGTCATGACATCCATCTTCATCTTTATTATTCCTCACCTGCAAAAATGACGATTTTCCGGTTTAATAGCCGCGATTGTACAAGCTTCTCAAAGCCTAAAGAAGCAACAAAAAAATTTATTTTCTCTTCTTTAAGTGATTCAAAAATAAAAATATTCTTTATTTTTTGACAGTTGTGTCCTTTGTACCCAAAAGTATAACTTAATGAATGTTTTTTTTCTTTATTAAAACGAAATAAAATAAAACTGGATAATCTTCAACCAGTCATGTCCTGATGACGTAGGAAAATCATCGTTTATCTTCATGACATCATCAATATCACACAAAATCCTCAAACATTTCTTTCTATCATCAAATACAAGAAATTCAGTTCTGTTTGAGCACATTATTAATGAAAGCTTAATTTGAATACAAATTGCTTAATAAATATTGATACAAATGCTTAAATGCCATATATGGTCATTTTAGTCTCAAAACAATCTGTGTTTAACCTGTTTTACTATTATTTCTCATGTTGCCATTTTCTATTTTAGGATCATTTGCTAATTTATTTGTTAATTTCTTTCTAGTCACCTCTTCTGACATCACGTTTCTGTTGTCGTCTTTGATAGTTTTTAAAAAACCTCCAGAGATTAATAGAAATCAATAGTTTTTTTGTATTTTGATCTCATATTTATAGTTTAGAGCAAGTATAGTGGATGTTCACAAGGAGAGAGAGAGAGAGAGAGGAATATAGTAAAAGAGAGAAGGTGAGGAGCAAGAGGGAATGACGCGGGAGGAAATCTTTGAGGCTATCTGACCTTTAATACTATATCCATAGTCATTTGAGATATGTTTATGCCAAAAGTTATTTGTTCTACAACGTTTTTTGAAATTTCTTCAGTCACTGCCTGCGAGGAGTGTGTTTGAAAGGTTTTTTTGTTGGTAAACGTCATTTGGACTGATTCATTGTGATTTTTGTTTGAAAATTCTTAATTTCGTAGATGACAAACAAACTGAACACGGGAAGATGGGTTGAAAGGACATGAAAGGAAAAAAGAAAACATTTTGATTTTGTATTTTTGAGTTTGTTGTAAAACGTGGAACTAAAAGTATTTGGGTGTGCAAAAGTAAGAACCTGCTTGAATTTAAGCAATCGTTTTCTCGTTTACCCTTCTCTCATTTTCTCTCCTTACATGGCCTGAGGCAATAAGCGGTGTGACAGTGACAAATTGGCTGAAATCAAGAAGAAACTGTGTTGATTATCATGTGAATGAGAGGCTTCTACCCGACGTAGTTGTTTTCTCTTCTTTATCACTCTTTCTCATCTTTTACAAAATATTTCTAATGTTCAAGTATAATGTTCGGGCAATACGTAGTTAGTTACATCATGTTGTTTTGCAATAGAGACAGAGAAAGAGAAAGTTCTTAAGAGAGATGAGACCAAAAAAGAGTTTGGTCAGAAACAGTTGAACAGACGCGAACTTAGTTGGGAGGAGTAACTTTCTGCAAAAGTGGCAACTTTGTCAAATTTTTCTGTTTTGCTCTCATTCAATCATATGTTCTTTAGTTAATTATATGATGTAATAATAGAATTTTATATTCAAGAAAATAATGTGTTTGTTCCTGTTAAATGATTTTCTTCTTTCCAATCATCATCATCTTCCACGCCCATTACTCCTTTAAATATTTGGTTGATTTAAACAAAAAAAGTTCATTTCGCTCATTTGGAACGATTGTTCGTCTCCATTAAATCCTCAAATAATCATCCAAACATGGAAGTGGTGGTGAGATTTTAATTTCTTCTTCTCTTCAAACTTTTGTTTTTATTTGCTTATACTTGTGTTTTTGGATTTTCTTGTTCAACCTCTCTGTTTTCAGTGTCCTAGCAAGTATCTCATCAAGTATCACGAGCTCAAGCATAAAATGCCCTTGAAATTAATACGAAAGTTGTCTTTTCGACACAAGAAAAGTGCTGACCGTGACGATCTGAAGGTATTGTGAGAATCTCATTGTAGGTTAAACATGATATCTTCATAGATTACCGCAGCTTGTTCGAACGGAACCATGCATAAATCATCTTCTTCTAAAGGATTATTCCAAAGAGGCTCTACAAGTTCTGTCGATACAAATAACTCGACCAGCAGTTTTCCGGAAGAAGTTCTTTTGAAGATAGTTGATTCGGCTGATATTTTCGAGCAAATTCGTCTTCGAGCAGTTTGTAAAACAATCAAAAATCATGTGGATAATAAGTTGAAACCAGTAAGTCGAACCTCCCTGAATATGATAGATGCTTTAACTTGATTACAGTATACCCATTTGGATGTTCAAAAAGCTGATGTTCGTCAAATGACGTCATCTTCTGATGGTTGGGTTCTTGGAGAGAACAGTCAAGTTGCTATTAAATTGAAGGAAAAAAAAGTTCGGATAGTTGTTGATAGAAAGTGAGTTACTGAAATGAGTTGTTTAGACGACCAGATGATATTTTCAGATGGACAGCTAGAGATATTCAGGCAATCGTTGGATTGATGAGTGTTTTTCGTAAATCTGTGATAGAAGCAACTATTGACGCCCCGATCGCCGAATTAGTAACAAATGAATGCTTGAAAAGCATTTATGCCTAATTTTTTAGTTAGTGGTTTCCATATCTGCTTTGGACTTAAATCGTTGGTATGCTTTTCAATGTTTCATGAAAGCAATGGATGCCATGGATGAAGATATGCATCTCCAATGTGAATTTACAAACCCTGGCGAGGTAAGCTAATCGAAGAACTGACAGATAACGGTCTGTATATCTTCCCAGGTATATTGGCCGAAAGTTCAACATTTAACAATTCGAACAACTGAAAGAGAAGCACCCCACTTAGACAGGTACGGTTTGCTTTTGAATATAAGACTAATCTCACTATGCTTCAGAGTCATCGATTACGGCGTCAAATGTAATTTTGTATTGGAACGACGAAATTTGCATCGATTGCGAATTGTTTTTGTCGACATTGAAATGACCACAAAGACTGTCAGTAAACATCTTTATAATTTCAGGTATTTTATAATTTACCTTGATCGAATTTACTATTTTTATAAATTTTAGATGTTGGGCAGGTTCTGCCGGCTTTGACCATCGGTTCGAGCAGCAATTTGGTGTTTTAATTTGATAAAAAATGACTTAGAAATTGATTGATCGGCTTGTTTGTCCTCGAAAGCTTTTCTTGTCTTCTTTTTCTGACCAAAAACCGTCTTGAATCAAAAATTTTGGAAAAAAAATTGGAAAAACTGAAGCATAGAAGATCCTTCCTACAAATAAGGCTCGTAACCTGGTTGTAAATGTGTGTGCGCTTGAGAAAATCTAATATGGAAATCTTACCACAAATTGCTTTAACTTTCACGTTCTTTAATATTTCGAAGCTTATTCGTATGTAATTAAAAGTTTATTAATTAATTCAAAAAAACCCTTCTGTTTGGAAGAAAGTGCGGATAAAGCCGACTGAATGACATTTTTCCCTAAAAAGCACACATGTTAATGATTGTTTATTGTTGGTTTAATTATTATTTATTCATTTTTCTTGCTGATCATTCTCTTGCTTCTCATTAACTATATGCTATAGTTTATTATTATTTGTATATTTTCATAACTTCATTTGAAGTTCTATTACGTAATATTCCATTCATTAATACGTTGTTGCTGATGATGATTATCAAAAAATAAAAAAATAAATATTTCTCGAACTTTGTATTCATCAGCCCTAATTTCCATTGTTTGAGAACAATATTAAGATATATTGATTTGTCATTGTACAGGATATCCGTTCACGTGGAGAATACGTCGTACACGTGAAGTTCATTGTTGAATGAGAAACGCGGAGGATCGGTCGATTACAGCGTTTTATATAAAAACAAGCAGTGAGGAAATGGAACGGTTGCATTCTGCTGATGCCGAGTCTTCATGCCAGGATAGCATGCTGCCCATTCAACATCAAAGGAAATATGCTCGGAAGTCTAACACGAACGAAATGAATGAGCAAAGTGAAGATGTAGAGAAAGAAGATGAGAAAAGGGGGCCACCCGAGATATCGGAAGGAGTTGGTTAATAGTGGATGATAAAGAGGAAGACAGTGAGTTCATTTGAAAATAACAAGCATTCCCTTATCTTATCGTTGAATGATAAGCCAAGAAATAAGTGGGAGAGATGGCTCGGAGTGTGAATGCTAGCATTTTATCTTCAAGTTTTCTGTTAATAACTAGTATTTTATAAAATAAAAAGAATTTTATAGAAATAAAATGGATATGAAGCATCATATGTGGATGTGGTTCCATACCACCATTGATGATACAATTCTATTTGACTTTTGGACAGTCAAAACAGTACCGCGTGAGTTCGGGAGCAGAAGAAGTTATAAAAATAAGAGAAAAATATTTATTCAGAGATGATTGTGGCTTTTTTGATTATAGCTCTCATTGGGGTTTTCTATGAATTCATTAAATTCCGAAGATGGGAACACTCACTGAAGTTTCAGCAATCGCAACCAAATATAAAGTATGCTACCTTTCCTAGTGAAAACGTAGTTGAAGAGATTATGTAAGTCCTTATTCGGACAAGTAATCTCGAAAATTAGATTCTATGCTTACATTTCAGCCAGTGTAGATGAGTAATCGAAAGATGAATGTTTTCTTCGTTTCAGTTATGTGCAACGGTTATTTCAACAACAACATATCTTTCAATCGATACTATTTGGAATTCAGGTATTTCCAAAACGTTCTAAGATTATGTCAATTCGAACGTTAAGATCATTCTGAGTTATATTCTGATGTTAGTATTCATGACATTCTCCATTTGGCTTGGCTTGGCTGTCTGCACCGGAATTTCTATAGGGTTTTTCATTTTCGGAAGTCGAACACAATCTTCGAACCAAGCAGTTGATTCAAATACAGAAACTCATTAAACGTTTTTATTTTCCTTCTCTTCACTTCATAAAACGTTTTTGAGCGTTTTATTTTTCCTCTCAAATTTTATTTATTTTCCACGAGTTTTGTTTTTTTCGTAACAGAATCAGAATGTTGATGATGATTATGTATTTTCACTTCAGAATCCAAGAAGTGATTCTGTTTGAAGGATGGATTCCAAAAACTTTGTTCTGTAACTTCATTTAAGAATATATTAATTTTGAGAACTATTTTTTAAGCATTCATCATGTCATGCATTGCTGTTTCAGCTATTTCGTTTGTGTATGAACTTCTTCGCTTTGGCCACTCTCGTTTTCTCGATAGCCTTGAGGTTAGAAAGTAACTGTTTCGAAGCACTAATTTGGGCGTTTAGAACTCGTACAGTGATGCTGAAGAAGGTCTATTATCAGGAATCAGGTAAATCTCTTAATAACTTCAAAAGTTACTTTACATTTCAAGTGCTAGGTTCATACGGCATGAACGAGTTCGACATTCAATCTTACCTACGACTTTCTACTTCGTAGAGCTGTTCATCTCATATTCTCTGATGATGATAACAATGACTTACAACATCCCCATCTTCTTCTCTTTAGTTTTTGGTTTGTAATCTTCTCCCCACTAAACTGCTAACTATGCGAATGTTTCAGGTCACATTTTGGCTTATTTCCTATTAACTCCATTGATGGGGGTTCGTCAAGAACAATCTCTAGGTGAATGCTGTCAATAAAGAATATTTCAACGTTCATTATAACACGTTCAAACAAAAGCATCATGCCGGAAGTAGAAGCTTTGTGTTGAAAAAACAAATTCGCACTAACTGGCTGAGTGAAAGCAAGACAAGTTCACTAAAGACAGAGATGAACTTAGAAGTCAAAACAAAATTGATTACAAGTCTTCAGAAGTACATCGTTTCTGTTAATTCTTGAATAGAAAGCGTTTTTGGCAAGAAACTGAATCATTCGTCCTACAAATTTTGAGTATAAATTGAAGCATTTTCTTTGCATGTAAGCAAAACAGCTTTTTCTTTCAAATATATAGACAGATGAGGAAAAATGTTAATCAAAAATAAATTACAAGAAAAGCAACCGTTCATCATGTTGTACAGCTTATATAAATGGGCCAGCTACGTGAAATTTTCCACGTATAGGAGATTTGTAAGAAAATGTACATGAATTAATGATTAAAACTGTGAACTTTTGTGAATTTCATCTTCGTTCTCATTGCATTCTGGTATGCACCTGAAGAACATCAATATTGAAAAAGTAAGAAACAAATTTATTAATTTTTAGATATGATATTAAATAAGAAAAACCTGAATGAAGGCGTCATGAGTATGGATGAAACAGAACGAGAACGGTTACGACGTAATCCCTTCGTTTGTTGTTTTTCGATTGTTGATATCTTGTTGTCCATTTTGTTTGTTTTCTTCAAACTCTCTCTAGAACTTGACGTCACATTTGATTGTAATGAGTTGCAAGTCGAAGTCTTAGAAGAAGCTGAAGTTGAAATTGAGCGATGATAAACTTTGGGACGAGGAATTGAAAATGGTTGTTGCGTAACAGCATCTGATTTGGTTGGCAGATTCAAAGATTGCTGAAAATATTAAGTCTAATTAACATTAATCGCCAATTTATTGACATTAAAGGGTTGCTCCAATCATAACTTTCAAAAATATTGTTATTATTATGTGTAGCTTAGTTTGGTTAACTATATAATAGTAATTGGGCGCCAAATGACAATATTAGAAGAACAAACTAATGGTTTGTTGATCTGTGAATGATTACTCTCAACGGTCTGCTTTTGTTTTTTCGGCGGACGATATTTCTATTTTATGATAAGCTGGCGAGCTCTTTTTGGAATACGCATTGAAACTAGTATTGGCTGAGACATTTGAGGTTAGTTCCATTTCTGTTACGGACTGTGTGTAAAGACTGCTGCTGGTCTTATGTTTGGACGATTGGGGAGGTTTCAACTGAATAATCGAATGAAACGCACGCTATGATGTAATCTCGGTGGTTTCGAAGATGACTGATTCGTCTGAAATTTATGTAAATTAGAATAATGGTGGAAAGGCTCAAACCTTATATGGCTTTGTTTCAATGCTCGATACCAATGGTTGTATCTTTGCTTGTTTTGGTTGAAAGGATGTAGGCAAGTCGTAGCGAACACATAACGGAACGTATTTTCCTTGAAAAGAAATAAAATTAGAATAAAACGGAAAAGAAAACGAAAGAAATTATCACCTTGTTTAGCCATGAAAGGATGTTTGAAATGAACGATTAAACATGAATTTGTTAATCTTGGCTGTCAACATTGAGTCAGGAATATTCAAGAGGTTTTTGTGTTAAAAAATCCTTTGTGAAGTACATTTAAATGATTCATAGAAAAGCCTTTGGGATGATAGGAGCGTTTTTTCATCTGAAGTTATTGCCTTTCAAAGCTTATAACCCTAAGTTGTACATGAAACGAACAATACGAGTGAGGGAAAGACAGTAATCTTCAAAGCTTAAAAATATCGGAGAGACAGCAGGAAACCCAGACGAATCATTAAGCTAAATGACAGAAGGCTTCATGTGTCAAGGCTAAGGGTCAAATGCGAAAATGTCTTGAAGCTTATGGTTCTCTCAAGGGAATTTCCTCTCTTTTTAGATCCATAAAAGTACTTGTTTAAAACATTGACTAAAAGATATTTCAAATTTTTATTGGCTCTCTTTTCAACATTTTCCACCCCCTTGTCTTTCATTTTTTTCACAAATTTAAATTCTATTTCTCTGCGCTTTCTTCATTATTCCCTTCTCTCTCTCTCTCCCTCGCTCTCTCTCTCTCTCTCTCTCTGTCTGTCTCTCTCTCTCTATCTTACTTACTTTCTCCCTTCTCTAGCCGTCCCTCTTAAAATAATTTGCTCCAGTTTTCCTTTTTTCTTCTCGTATCCAGCACTGTCTTTGTCAGAAAAAATCTTTTTTATTTTTTCTCCGTTCTTCAGTTTACCGACTGATATTTCTGAAGAAAAGTTTGAGAATATTTTCGACTCTTAAATGCTCGAAAGACAAAAACAATTTTTTCTTTTCTAAACGTCGTTATTTCATTCAATTTCACACTACTTCTATTGATTAGTGTCAATTATCTCTACGTCTTCGTCAATTAGAAAAGTTACTTAACTCTCTCTCTCTCTCTCTCTCTCTCTCTCTCTCTCTCTCTTTCTCTCACTTTCTCTTTATATATATATATATACATATATCGGAGAATTCCTTTTCCATTTTTTGAAATTCCTCTCCATCTTCCTTCCTTTCCTTCCCTATTGGGATGTCGCCCTTTCTCTTCTTCTCCTCTTTGCATTTTAAGTATCAACTACATTTGACTTTGTACATCAGAATACGAAATATCCATTTAATGATTAACATTTGCTAGTAAGGAGAGAGAAAGGAGTGTAGAGAGAAATCATTGTAAGTGTATCATTTAATTCGTAAAAATACCTTGTATTATTATTTGTCTCAACCTTTATGTGTGTGTATGACTGACTACTGGCTGTAGATACTCTCTCTCTCCCTCTCTCTTTCTCTCTCTCTCTCTCTCTCTCTTTCAATGCTTTTCCCTCTGTAATGTAAGCAAAGAAATTATTCAATTTCTTATTATTTTTGACTCAAAATGTAAATTCGAAATTTCATAATGTTCCTTTCATTTTGTCGTTTTTCTCATAATTGAGAAGAAAAAAATTGAAATAAAAAATTAAATTAATGTTTATTCAGATGATTTTTTGATGGAAAACAGACAACAAATTTGTCGAAAAAATAGTTTTTTTGACGAATCTTTTTCTTCTCTTTGATGTTTTTGTTTTAAATTTTAAATTGGGTAAAGATAGGGAAAATGGCTTTTTGAGTTAGGAAATTCTGAAGGAAATGACACTTCAGAAGCACTTTTGCACTCAACTTTGCTCCTTTTCTTGACTTTCCAACTTCCTATTCATTCTATTCTCATCTGAATGTTCAAAATACTTTTCCTCAACAAGCTTCCGATTTTCTATTTTGAATAGCAAATTTCTCGTGTACATAAGGCTTTAACGAAATGTCAAAAAAACTTTTTATTGCCGAAGTCGCTATTCTTGTATTGTGAAGAGTTTTTGAGAATTTTCTAAAAATACCTCAGTAACTTTTGAGAGCTTGGAAAAAATACAACCGCTCACCACGTCTAATATGCAAAAAAATAAAGTTATAGGTAGTACGTGACGTGTGATGCGTGAAAAAGCACGTGAATAAGGTTTTCGAGTCAGTTTGCTGATAGAAATGAAATAAGCTGTTATAAAAAGGTAGACAAAAGCGTTTTGTGATGACTTTGAGCTATTTTTTGAAGAGATTTGGGAGTGATGAGAAACACGTGAGCTAGAAAAAGAGATTTTGCAAAGCAAGGAGACGCCAAGTAGTTAAAAGAGACAAAGAGAAAGAGAAAAAGAGGAAAGTAGGGAAAAGTTATTTTTTCAAGCCAGTAACAACGATTAACACGGATGACTTAATGTATTGAAGTGGAATGAAGGACAAACTGAATAAATATATGGATGGTTTTGGAACAGTTAATGAGAGAAGCCGTGCAAATAAAAAAAAAGAAGAAAAAACTTTTTTTGCATTATTTTTTGGGAATATTCTTAACTTTCTGTGTCTGAATGGAACTCTCATTGAAATAGATCATCAAAAGTCGCTTTTTTTTTAAAGTTTTTCTGAGACTTTCTTGTCATTTTGTGTTCTCCGTTTTCGCTCATTTTTCTCTCCAAAATATTCTTTTTTTTTCTATTGATTTCAATGAGGGAAAAAGGAAAGTTCAACGGAAGAGAAGTCTTTGAGGAGGATCTTGTTCTGAACTTTGTCAAAGATATTTTCAGTTGAAATGTTCTCAAATCTGTCTCTCTTTCAAATCTTTTATTAAAGAACTTGGAGCGAAAGCCTAAATGACGAATATGGAAATGTAAATAGTTAATGGTAATTTAATCTTTTTGATTGTTTTACTTTTGAATTCTGCCCGCTTTTCACATTCTGCTGAAAGCTTTCATGCTATTTTAAATTCTTTTTTTCTCTTTTTTTTTATAATAAAGGGAGATAGAGATGATGGAGGGAAAGAGAGAGAGAGAGAGAGAGAGGGGGTGCCATAGTGAGCATTAGAAAAGAGGAAATTTCCCTTTCTCTCTGGTAAGGATTGGTTTTAATGCTGACTAGTATTGCTTTTCCGCCTGCTTCTTCAAACAAACAAGGAAAAACTAATTAGAACATATTAATTATTAAAAAGATTCTTATAGAGAGAAATGAAGAAATGATGAAAGGTAAAGGTATAAGAGAATTAGGATGACGTAGTATATTTTTCCCCAAACTCTCGCGACATCAATAGGTGAACTTCATGTAAGGAAGAAGAGAGAGAGAGAGAGAGAGAGAGAGATATGGAGAAAGCCTTGTTGATTTCAGTGAATTTACATTCTTCTACGAAGCTTCTGCTTATCATGTAACGGCAGAAGTCTTGAAACGTTTTCAATGCATTTCAAATGATTTTCTCGTCTTCTTGCCAGCAGAATATTTTAACAAACTTTTCTAAATTTTACTTCAAAAGAGATCGAGAGTTCTAGGGAGAGAAAGGAAGAGAGAAGAGAAGAGAGCTAGATGATTTCCGAGATAAAGTGAAAGAAGAAAATGATGAAAGAATTTTTTTCATTTTTTTTTGAATGAAAAGCAAAAGTATGTAAAAATGAATAATATCCTATCTATTATGGACAATTTTCCCATGCTGGCTTATAAAATGTGAGAACGAAATTGGAGAGCTTTAACATAACACTTTTGGTCCAAATATGGAAAAATGCTTATATATTGTGCTTTTGCTAACCTTCTTCCCTATTTTTATATCTTCTCATCTGCTTTTTCTTATTTTCTTTTGCTGGTCTCTCAAGACCAACAAGTCATTTTCCAGTTGTTTTTTTCGCCAAAAGAAAACAGAAATCTTAATAGCAAAGGATGTTTCACAAGCAAGAAGCTTTCAGTAGAAAAATATGAAGGAAAAGAGCCCTGAAAGAGAGAGAGAGAGAAAGAGAGAGAGAGAGAGAGAGAGAGAGAGAGAGAAAGAGATAGAGAGAAGGAGAGAATGTATGTGAGAG